CTCACTAATTATTCTCTTTAATTTTATCTCCTGTGGTTTTTCCTTCCTACATGTAGATGCTATCAGTGAACACTTAGATGTGTTAATAGAATTAGCACCATGTTGGATAGAGAAATTAAACTGGTCCACTATTCATCTGCGATTAAAAGATCCAGAACGATCAGTGAAAGATGTTATCGATCTGATTAAATCAAAAGTTGCTAAAGATGGTGTTAACATTTAGTAAATCTGTGTTATTTTTATATTTCTCTTTTTTGTATATTTTTTTAAATTGTTATATTATCTTTATTATCTCGTCGATACAATGCATTTATATGTGTGTATGTGTACTTGTGCATTTACTACTACTACTTATAGTATCTCATTTTTATGCTTCTTATTGTTTCATATTTTAAGTATGATTTTGTGTGTACTTCATTTGTTTTCCATATATATATATATATATATATATATATATATATATATATATATATATATAATTTGAAAGCATGATAATGTATTTCTTCTTTTCCATTCTCCAGGTAGATCATTCTATTTATTAATATGATTTTGGTATGTAATTGCAATGTTTTACTCATTGGTTGCTTTACTCCAACTATACATTTCATAGTTTACCAACTTTATTAATGCTTAAATCACATGAATTTTAATGATTAAGATGTAGGTTTAAAGTCTTCTTTTTATTTGATTCGATTTTTTCAAGCCTGATTGATCTGTGGGAAGACAGTGAACTTGTATTAACAAGTTTGACTTACAGTCATATATCTAAGAATCTTGATGTGCATTATAATATTCGAAAATCTTTATAAATTTATTACACAAATAATAATCATTTACTTATTGGTAACTAATTTCAAGAGATAACTTCAGGATTTTTAATAGGGAGTCGGGACTAATGCAATTCAGTTATGTCCGTTGTAAGGCAGTGTCACTTAGCAACGACACTAACAGAGTTGCGCAATATTTCTGATTGGTGGAAATAGGGTACATAATCCATTGTATACCATTTCAGTGATCTGAAGAATATGCACCCACTGCGAGATTTGGGTGCCTTAAACTCGATACCTGGTGGAATCGTAAATGGGCATTACAGAAGAGTCTCATAATAGAACGAACCAGTTGTCCATTCTTGGTTTTCAATGATTATCTAACCTAGGTCAGTTCGTGATACAAACTATCAGTTATATGTACTTGATCATCCCTGTACTCTGTTTACATTTCACGTATTAGGCATGCTATGTCTCGGAAAGAATCTCGAAGTTCACTTACTGATTTAAAGTGCGGCTCGTTCATTGAATTTCAACGTTTTCATTTGTGTAGATTTGTTCAGTATGAATTTAACATAGAATTGATGGAGGTTGGCTAGCAATTGGATCCATGAAACCGATTTAGTCGTATTCGGGTCTCGTCGGCCGCATGTGTCTGCATTCAAAAATTGATGTTCACTCAGAAACTCGAACCCATTGCCGTTTGCTTCAAACGCTATCGCGTCACCCACTTAACCTTTGAGTCTAGATAGCCTTTCAATAGTGCAATGGGTATGAGATATAATTCAATTTAATATGGTTGGAATTATCCCGTTACTGATATTTTAGGCTAAAATTTGATCTGTCTGGGATGTAACGCCCGTTCTGGATTCCACTACTAACCACATTCCAACAATTCTGTATCAACTTTTGTAATAATATCTATATCGAGACAGTTCGCACAGGATGCGCTTATGACAATCAAGACTGATCAAATTTCAGTCAAAGTATCAATAACGTGATAATCTAAACTATTTCAAACAGTATGAAGTTTATTTTTGAATCCATCTTCATTGTAGTATTAGTCCACACTATGATTTCGTGCTCAAGAGACAGTTACTCACTTTGATATGTTTTGTAAGTATTAATCGTTGAATTTAATCGATGTAAAACCGGATTTACTCGAATGTATTTTGATTTTCTACAAGGTCGATATAGCGAACCAATCAGAAGTAGACAAATAAGGTCACTTGGTGTCAACCCGAAGTGTCCTGAAAGACAAGTGCATGGCGTTGGCTAAGAAGTGGATCGATTTTACCAGGGTACAAATTTATATATACAAATGAGTATTTATTCATATCAGTTGGGGGGTTTAGTGCATGGCATGTGTATCACCAGATCTCAGACACCCCCTGTCATAACAGACATCTCTTCCAATCGTATAGGAAGTTATTATTGCAATGTGTTGCGCATCTCAGTCATCCTGTGTGTCACCCATCTCATGGATCACTTCTACTATTCATAGTATCATTCATAATGCGAAATTATCATAACCAATTTCAAATTACAACAAGTAGATTCTTTCTGGAAATCAGACTATTTGTTGTTAGATTATGTTCATAGTTCATTGTCGTCCAGCTTATGACAACTGATAAAAATTTATCGGTTTACTATGGGTACCTGAGAAAACTTAACACGTATATGCATGATGAGTGAAATGCTTAAAGTATAAACAATGAAAACTTAGCCAAGACGTTTAATGCCAATAGCCTAAAAGTGAACTAAGTGCATACCGATCAAAGTTATTACCGGTTTTTCCAATAACATACGACATAGTATAATAACTAGCTGACACTCATGTTTCTTTGCCTTTGTCTGGTTTCACGACACTACAACATATTTGTTGGAGTTTTATCTTACATTATAAACAACGTTGTACATTGACTTCGCTAGTATTTTCATTGTAGTTCCGTTTATTATTATTTAGCTCTTTGATACTCTGGCTCTTAACAAATTTAGGCTTCACATACATCTGTGCACTAACACTGATCAACTGAATTCAATCTCAGTTCACAAAGTACAGATTCGTGCGTATGACTTTGGAACACACTACGTGTATGAAATCTAGTGATACTATCCGGTTGATTAAACCGAAGTAGCTGGGACACAAATTGAAAAAGTGACTGAAAGTCAAGGTCATGTAAACAGTAAAAATGTACTCACCAAAATTTCATCACCTCAGAAGCTTTGCCATTATATACGCGATGTATTTTTTGCAAAAGTGATACAAAGATATTGTGTCAGCTCTAAATTCTTATAGTAATAAACTGAAGATCGTCTTCATGTCGAATTTATTCTGACATCAAAATTAACGTTTTTAATCTGAATAGTTAATTAGGCTTTTTAGTGGTTTTTCTCATTGTACGCACAATATGTGGTTATATTTTGTGGTCAAATTGTGTTGCCTATTATGCATAACAAATTAAAATAGAAAACTAGTCTGACATGTATTCACACTAGTGTTTATATAGTAGAAGTATAAAACTTTCCAGAATGTGTACAGTATAAATAACACGATATTGCTGTTTGTTGTTTCTACAAAATCGTACTAATTGAAATACTGATTGTATTGCAAGTGACCTTTTAATTTGTCACATCGTTCAGAACATGAAATACGTCCACCAGCATTCAGTTCCCCGTGGAATATTTTCCAGGTTCACCCGAAACAAGGGATAACTAAAAAGGCACCAAAGAGAATGGCCTTTTATAGTGTACTTCAGTTCTTTAATGTAGGAAAGTGCTCAGTATTGGAAATATAGGACATCCATAATCGTATGACAATATAATTGAAACAAGTATAATATATCAATCAATCCATTTTTTAGCACAAGACTTGTGAATTCAATATTTGTTTGGATAGTCAACGATACTTTCTGCTCAGCAATTTTTCAATGACCCATCAATTATTGCTTATTCATTTGTGGTAAACATACTGATTTAGACCTAATTCATACGAGAAACTACAATCATAAAACTAGTTGTTAACTTGATTATAAAAGAGGAATCAAAACAAAAGACAAACCTACGAAGACAAGCAACCACAAGAACAAACTGATTTTACGCTTGTAAAATAACTAGCAAGTTCACTTCTACATTATGATATCCAGAATGAGCACGAAAGCCTCGCGATGAAATCATCTAGCTCAGACTATTCAAGAACACAAAAAGAAGTTAAACTGTTTCTTAGATTGAATTAAAACATGATTACAGAGCACACCCAAATATAGTATCCTTACTATTCTAAAGATTATTCATAGACATAGCCAAGAGGAAACCCATTTAAGTAGTTAATTAGTTCTGGAGAAAGAAATTGGTGGGCGAATAAAAACGCTACGCAATGTCCAGTGAATATATTATAGGACTCAGTAAGTATAGAGTACTAAGGTACAAAGACACATCATTCTCTACACTAAGGGAATGGAAGCTTACGATAATTCTCAATGTTACAAAATGAAACAAGTAACTGGTAATGGTAAACACATGGAAACAATTAACTAGTCACTAAGACAGGATACACAAGTTATATTTTTGTAGAATTCTTTTAGCTTTTAAAAATACAAATTTTGAGCAATAGATCAGTCATAAAAATCAAATTAAAAACAATCATCAGATGTTTCATCACTCTATGCATAGGTCACATAGATAGGACGAATATTATAAAAGCATAATACATATTTGTCAAATGATATAAATTAGAAAAGCAGGAGGTAATCAGGATGAGAGAAATAGAAGACATTGGAATCATAAGAAGTATGTGTATAATAAAAATATTACAATTCACTTTAGGAAAAAAAGAATCAATCATCATAATTGTCAGTTAAAAATTATTTCAAAAAATCAAACCGAGAAAAAAGAAAAGGTAACTTAAAGAAATACAATTCAAAAGTAAGAAAGGCACTTAGTATTAAATTATCACACACGACTAGTAAGTAGCATGAAGAGTAAGAAATGATGGTAAGGAAAGACTTCAAAAAAAGAAGGGGTGAGTTAATGCTTCGTGATAGGTAATTATTGAATTATGAAAACAAAATCTGATTTAAAGTGGTGTGGGAATGTAAGTAACAATTGAGAAATGTAAGTAGTATATATATATGATTGATGAATCTGTAAATTCGTATAGCAGTAACAATATTAATATTAGTATTGTGAGTGTTAATACGCGGATACATATGATAGACAGATTGGAGAGAGAGATCAGTTGATTTCAAAAGATTGCGCGGCCCGTTCTATTTGTTCCGCAATTTGATGATAAAAACGTGCTTGATCATGAAGATAGTCTTTGATTTTATTTATCCATTCATCACGAATTTGATTCATAATTAAATTACATTCAGCTTGAACAGAACGTGTAATCAATAATGCACCAGATTGAATTCGATTCACATCGGATTGACATAATTTTTGTTCATCGGTATTACAACGATTTAATTCGTCAACAGTAAGACATGCAGCTTTAGCTAGACTGATAATAGTTGATGTATTAGGCAGTAGACGAGTGAATTCTTTTAAGCATTCTTGGAGATTGGTTGTTGCTTCTGACTGGAAACAAACCGAAAATGTTGAATATTTACAATCAATTGATAAATAACTACTGAGAAGTAAGTGAATTATATCACGTTTTTCTAATCCCCTAGTGCCGATTGAACTCTATCAATAAAGTAACAATGTAGCTATTAGTCTAATTGACCCACAATTACGTACACTATGTTTTGATGTTAATTAGTTAAAGATAGTCGACAAGGAAACCCTGTTTAATCTGAGTGTCGTACTAGTTGTCACTCGTCAGAGTAGCGTACGTATGATCTTGAGAGAACTAATGCTTCCAGTGGGATTCGAACTTACGTCATGCAGCTGCATAATCTGAGATATTATCAATGATCTACATGGGTGGTGGCTAACCTCCTGTAGTACTGAGATATTTATTTTGTCAACTACGTCCAACCATCCAACAAAGCATAACAAGCAATATAATATGCACATTTTGGTAGATCAAGTGTATACTGTATAAAACTATCCATTCAGTTATCAACTCTCGGTTTGACATGAGTGATTGTCTGTTCGAACTGCAACGCCATAAGCTACACTGAGACAGAAAGTTAACAACACGAGAACCAAAGGGGAGTAATTGATTTAAAGTCAAATGCAAATCTAGACATGAGAAATACAGTTAGAAATGAATAAATAAGATCTTAGGATGGAAAGTTCGGAATGACACTGAATTCGAAAATGAAAGATAAAAAATGAATCAAAGTGTGCCATCGCAGCAGATTTTACTTTACGTTACCCAACGTCTCTAATGATTACGATTATTGTGTGAATTGTAAGTGCAAACTCTGAACACACTTTGTGGTTTGATTAATTTGTCGATACTGGCACATCTCCTATCTCAGTATGTCAAAACGTATAGCCCTATCAATCACCTTGCTCTTTTTACTTGTTCTCTACATATAATCCGAGTATTTTTAACACTGTGTCATTGGCTAATGTTCATTGCTCTATCTATGCAATCCTTTAACCCGGTTCCATATAGCATTTCTCTTATGAAATCGATTTTGAGGAGAGTAACTATTTCGTTCAATGTTAATAAGTAACAGTACGTAGCTTTTATTTTTATTCTATAGTAATAACACCAACGTGTACAGTAGATATGCTTTTTACTTAAAGATTTATTTGTAGAGAATGTCAGAATACTGTTTAATTCCTACCAACTTTACTCATGAAGACATTTTCGAATCAGTGATGTCGAAAAAACGTGTCACCTTTATGACTTGAATCTTAATGTATATTTTATTTATCCTTTTCGCAACTAGAGGTATTTCATGTACTGTCTGTGTGAGCTAGTAAGATGTTATCCGGTGTTGGGGATGTCAAATCCCCAGAACTTACTTGGTAAATGGCTTAATCTTGTAGTTTTATTTTGAAAATTTGAATTTAGCTGTTTTCGCGCCAAAAGCGCTCTTTTTACCTTCACGTCATATTTCCCACCTGTAAACTATCTTAACCGCTATTGGTCCATTGTTTCTTTATGTGTGCTATTTACTAATGATGCTCAAGGACAATTTGTTACTGTATAAATGCGCTTGACTTTTCCCCTTATTTGATTGCTTGTACTCGGCTGCTTACGGAATATATATATATATATATTCCCCTACTTGCCTTGGACTTTTTCATCTAGTTAGCGGGGCCTGGGACAACCGATTAGAATAGCTTATCGTGTCATTGTGTCATTGGCTTCCGTTCATTACCGCGGAATCGATTTAGTGTCAAACATAACATCCGGTTATCCTAAACGGAAACAGACTGTGAACTTGTATATTGAAGGCCAAATGTACGGTAAACTTTGCAAACAAATGCTTTATTGATATTCAAATATATAATAGCATGATTGGATGATCATGGATTTATATCGCAAAGTGATTAAAGTCGGAATTGCACAAGCAAACGCTATACCGGTGGTTCGAATGATTCAGTATTTGGCAAAAAACCTGAAGGTCCTTAATTTGATCCCTGATTGGATTATGCATACATATTGTTAAAGATTCCCCAAAATGCCCTGGTACGGCTGAGAGTTCGCTCTCCCTTTTGAAATGCCCTCACATAGCCACGTGCAATACAATCACTGCCAGGAAAGTCCTACTCATTGCCTTTTCGCGGCATTACTATTGTTTACGAAATTGAGAAGACGAAAAGAGAATGTCGGGCGCTTTAACCGGGTTGGTGGTTACGTAGAGTCCAAGTAGGGGAGTTGGAAAACTCTGATTCCAAGCCAATGGTGAACATGGGCTCCAGGATCCTGAGGGGACAAATGGTGTATGAACCAATCGTTGGTCACCGACTACCATAGGACTGCATCTCCTACCGTTATTCCACTACTTTGTGGATCAGATCTTTAGTTCAAAGGTTCTGGGTGTGGCCCCCTAAGAAAACCATCTGCTTCAGTTTGGGTTCCCGGGCAGTATCACAGCCCCCACACAAACGAAATGATTTGTATAGTGCATATATATTTGGTGCCATTTTGTACCAATGTTTATGTGTTTAAATAAATTAAAAAAATCCTTATGTACTAAGACGAAACGGCTGTTTAATACTCCCAATTTTTTAATTGTAACCTGAGATCAGATTGAAACGACTACAACCTACAGATCAGACTAATGTCGGCAAAACGCTTTCAATAGGAATTTAAAAAATAGTAGCTTATTTACCTGGATTGCATGGATACATGATACGTTTCTGAATGTATTGCCAGTAGCAGTTAGTGAAGCACATAATTTTGTATTTAATTGTTCTGAAATGGAAATAAGCATTGAAGTATTAACTAATATATCACGATGATGACAATAATTTAATACAGAAATTACAATGTAAACACTAATGATTTGATTAAGGAATTGTGGAGACGTCATACGACATATTTTAAAACTTCAGGAGGTTCCATTTAAAATTATTTTAAAAAATGTGTGTGTGCATTTGAAAATAATATTTATGATATATTTCGATGGGAATAAGAGAGAACATAAAATTCCGCTAACACAATACATTTCCTGTCCTTAACTTATAAAATAACGTTTTATGGGCACTGACGTTTCAGTATTTCATTTAGTTAATGGAGATATGAAATGTATTTGTCAAATAATAGGCTGGAATTTTCAGAATTAAAAGTGGGTATCTTCATTGTCGATATCACTTAAGTTGTTATCAATGAATGTATACAAATGACATACAGGGAAACATTTTGAATAAACAATACAAGGGTCACTGTCGGGACTTGGTGAAGCATGGATATTCGCATCTTTTTCTTGACTTATATCAATGAGCATAATATGATTGAACAGCTCTAATGAAAAGTGCAATCAAACAGTCTCTCATCTAATTGATCATTATGCTACAACGATAACAATAACAATAAATGGAATAAAAACTAAGCAAAATAAGTAATTAAAATTTTATGCTTATTACTAACAACCGTACTTGTATGAACATCCGATTCAATAGCTTTGCTCATGTTAAGAAAAGCCATTGACAGTTTGGAAAATTCTTTACGAGTAGCTATACATACAGAGAGAGAGAAGGAAGATGTAAATAAAAAGAATTTTATGAACAAATAAATATGAAAGATGACACAAATAATCTGTATGCACAAAAAGTAAAATAATGTTCTCATAGTTGAAAGTGTGAGTTGTGGATGTGCACTGCTGAGGAGTCCCACAATAGGAGAAAAACGGCCGTTCAGTGCTCCCAATTTTTCCCTGGTGGTTTAGCTTCAATTGACTAACGCTTTCAACTATGGAAATACTAAATCTCCATAAAAAACCCCTTCTGATAAAAATAATGTTCGTTTGGAGAATGTAACACAAGAAACGAAATAACCCATAGATAAGACAAAAATGTCATTATTGTATAGTTTGGTGGATATATTAAAAAAATGAATGATTATTTAGAGACTGAAGAGAATAAAAATGGGGGAAATAAAACCTTTAGAACTGTTTAACCGTAAAATGTTGTACATACTTTTAATGTGCACCTTAAACAATCCATTTATAATAAATGTCATTTCACGACTCCTGAATTAATTAAGTAATCATGGACTCATAACCACAGTCTTGTAGCACATATGACTTAGTTATGCATAATATTCTGATTTCTAATGTGTAGTCCATTGTGATCGTGCCACTGGTGTAAGAACAAGTGAACTAATCAGAGTTATGGTTTTCCCATCACTATTCACGATCATTTGTATCATTGGTTAAAAAGGTCATTGGCCAGATAATGAATTTGATGGAAATGTTTCAGAAGAGCCAAATTCTGATGACCTGAAGTCAAGTGTTGTTCACTATCATTCAGTTATCCCTAGTGGATTCTCTATTCAATGCGAGAAATATGTTCTAAATAAAGTTATATTAATCGTAATTTGGAGATATGAGGATCCAACATTGTTTCGTGGGGGAGGATAAAGTCGGCAAATGTAGTCTGGATACCTACCCCGAACCTTCAAAAAAAGGGAGGTGTTGGGATGATCCTGCATTTTTCTCGCAAGCGACATGACAAGCTCAGGAGTCATCAAGGAGCATTTCAACCAATCCGCGATTAATTAGAAATTATGTTACTAAAATAACGAAAATGGAAAGGTCACATGTGGAGATCCTGATTGGCTGATTAATGCACTGCTACTATGTTTAGCAGTATTCTAGAATTTTCGGTAAAACTCAAGGACTCTTAAATTACTATAAAATTCCTATATTTTCTGTACATGAATGAACCTTGCAGTAAAGTGCTTCCCTCACACTTTGTGCCTTTTCTCTGGTCTTCAAGTCGCGCGGAGTAGTTCTAGCTCGGGGGTACGGAACTAGCTTAGGGAAGCGAATATAGCGTTCATAATCGGCCAGTTATAACAAGGCTATATCGAGACAATACGCACAGTATGCACATATGCCAATTAGAGACTGACCAGTTGCAGTAGTCCTGACACATCAATGGGAAGATTCAAACAAACAACACTAAATGAATTTAATATGAAATATGGTTTAAAAGTAACTATATTATGAAGTTCGTTACCTCATAACTGTTAGCTGGATAGCGCTGATATTGCCACATTCTTGTCAGGTTCAGAGTGTCATAAGTTGTTTTATAGATTTTGAAATCGATCAACGCCGATGGAGGAATCAAGACGTTAGATTCTCATACATAACCTTTACAAACTCTGTTGCTCGAGAATACTGGAACGTACACTATTCCACTTTAATTTTCATTCCGATTTGGGAAGAGTCAAATAAAGCGTTGTGTTGATGGTGTACAAGAGTAGAAGATATTACGTTAACGAAATCAGTTGTAGTTATTATAAACGGAATATGAGACAAAGTTTTACAATGGAGAATAGTTCCAGGCAGTGGAGGGAAGCAACTACGCAGCCAATAAAGGAGACAATAATAGATAGATATGTTTCATGATAAGGACTTTTGTCAGTTCACTTAAAAGTGATCGTCGACGAGTGGATATTGTTCAAAAGTCCTAAATCTAGTGAAATCTATCTCTTTCTTACATGCTGATGTTAATGTGTAGTGAAAATTCATTAATAAATACTTAAAATGTATTCAAAATTGGAGAAAACACTACTTTAATAAACGGCACTCTTGATAAAATAAAAAATATATAATGAATTTTAAAAACACAACAATATAACATATAAAAAACACACATAAATCAACACATCAACAACAGCTTACTAATACTTAATTTCCGATTATATTCAACGACTGTTTCACATAGAAATTTAGTTGATCTATCCAAATCAGCTAAAAATGACTCAGCTGTTTCCGCTTTTTCAACTCTGAATTTTTACAATAGAGCACAAAAAACAAGATTGATGAGTAAGAGAAAAATAAGGGTATAATGAGAAAAAGATGGTAAATTGAGTAATTTAGTCTTCAAAGATGTTGAAAGTATAGGGGCAATTGTCATTTTGAGGCTGCCAAAATGATGAAAGGATAATTGTTCTTAAAGTATATGAAGAAAAATCTGGGTCTTAACGACCTGGGAGCGTTACAATATCGGTCATATATATTGTGCTTTGAAGGTTGGACCCTAATGGCGGTGATGGAACTCTACGAGGCAAGGTGAGATGTGATAAGTCTTGCTAATTAAACGTTATACTCGGATCCTAAGCTAGTCTCGTAACCAACAAGCTAAATTTACACAGTGGCTTGAACACGAGAGAAAAGGAACAAAATATGCGAGAAGCACTTTACTCCAATGGTTTATTTATGTACAGCAAATATAAGGTTTTTTATAGTATTTTAGAAGTCCTTGGGTTTTCTTGAAAATTCTGGACTGCTATTAAACATAGTAGCAGCGTAGTAATTAGCCAATCAGAAACTCTACATGTGACTTCACTTTCGTGATGTTTCTGGCAAAACTTCCAGTGAACGCTGATTGGATAAAATGCTTCTTAGTTTTTCTTGAGTGCTTCTTGTCTTTTGCGAGAGATTTTCTGGATCTCCCCAACACCTCCCTTTTTTTCTGAAATACTATAAATACCCCCGATTTTCTGTACATAAACTAATCTTAGAGTAAAGCGTTCTTTTCATACTTAGCGACTTTCCTCTCGTGTTCAAGTTATCGTATAGATTTAACCTGGGGTAATTAGAAGAGCTTAGGAAACTGATTTAGGCGTTCAGTTAGAAAACTTATCAATCTGAAACGACAATGAAATTTTTTAAATTAAAACATTCAGTTTAGAGAATCCGATTATACGGCAGCAATTTCTAACCATGCATGTGTTTTTGTGGGACGTATTAATGACTCAACTATTAAGAGAGATATTTACTCAATATAATTGGATGTTGATTTCACAGCTTGGAATATAACTAGGGTGTAGTTTACGTAAGTTTATCTGAAGATGGAATGAGAAGTGGGATTCAGTTGATTAGTGAGCTTTACAAATATGAACTTGGTGTTATCCCTACATTTGCCTATCATTGAGAACCGGCTACTGAATACGCAAACATTAAAACGTTAAAATGCATATAACTTGTACCATCTTGTGAAGTATTAACATACTTGGATCCTATGAGCACATCTTAAGAAAAGAAATTTCACTTTAAATGCTAAAATATTTGTTACTCAGAAATTTATTTTGGCAAGGATCTTAAAAGTTGATAACAGCAAAAACACATAAAATTAGTTTGCAAGTTTCAGACGAATACAGTTACTACTGCATTAGAACCAGAATAGGTTTTAGAAGAAAAAACTAGGAGATAATATTGTGAACAGAAAAGGAAATTAACCTTAGTGTTGCAAGCGCCCCATCAAAATATTTGGTTATAACAACAAAGGAATATACCAGGTCAACAAGCTTCTAAGCATCCAATTCACTCCTTTATACAATAGATTATTCAAACTGGAAGCTGAGACAACAAAATAGCTTTATTAACACAAGAAAGAACTGAACTAAACCGTATAATACATATACTATCATTCAGTAAGATGAAAAGTCATAATCATCATCATACTCAGATGATTAGTAAATTCATTTTTAAATATTATCACTTTGCATTGGACTCATTATTACTAGACGTAATTAACGATTTCCACAAGAGGAAAGTGTGCGAATACTCAACAAACAATTATAATTGAGCTTACAGTGATTGTGAATTTACAGAAACGATTGAGATTACTTCAACACGAAAGGAATCTAATGCGAACTTGACTTCAAGGAGACTGAAAAACTACATAAGCTGAAATAATAATCCTCAACGCTGTATCCACGAAGGCAGGGTCGCAAAGAAAACTTGATAATTAACAAAGAGAAACTGAAATTGAACAGATCTGTATATACAGTAACAAAAACATGACCTTTAGGCACGAAAGATTAGCGAACTATAAGTAACGACAGCTAATCAGAATAGGGAGAAGGTCGTGCGAAAATCTGAACCCGTAAAAAGCGATTGCGTTTATCGCTACATGCAAGAATTGACACTGATATTATCAAAACTAGGTAAAATGGGATCTTCCGAACAGAATGAAAACTCACGTATAGTCATGAGGTGTTTGTCCACTTTTTGATTCCACTGAAAAATAAAAACGTAAACCTTGTAATTTGTCAGTTTCTGCTTCACGTTTGCCTAATTTCCATTTCTAGATTTTTAAAGTAAAAACAATAAATGAGGTGGGAAGGTTAGACAATAAACGAAAACTACATATAATCATTTACCAATATGTATCCCGTCAATATACAAATTCTATTAATGGATTAAACTAAAATGGTTAGGAAATGTGTTATGTATACCAAAGCGCTACCTATCTCGACGGATGATGTTTACTGGTGTAGAGGTAGATAGAAAGAAACCAGATGGTGACATCATTTTACGAAGTCATTCGCCGTTGATCTATGCCACGCTAGCAAATCTAGACTACCTGGTGGGGGGATATGTACGATAACCGCAACTAATGTCTATAGATGTTGTGTAATATGGCTCAGAATACCTCACAATGGACCAGGTGCATACACTTTCTGTCTTATTCTAGATCTTTTGTTTTAGCATTTCTTTATAAACATCATTTACTCTTAACCGTTTAGAACCACATTTTTAATCGTTAGTCTTTCCTATAATCAATGCTGAATTATTTTGATTCTTTCTTGTTAATTTCACCTTGTTGTGCTAATGTGTTATAGCAACTTGGACTAACTCATATTTGTGCCATGTCCTAAGCTGATCGTGAGTGACTAATCACGTTAGCCACATGTGTGTATTATACTATCGGGTAAAAGTTTTATCGTGATAAAGTTTAAGATTTCGAGACAATTTTCAAACGCTTTAGTAGGTAAAGTGCACCACACAACCTATGCAGTTTTATTTTACTGGATATGATAAACAGTTATACTAACTAATAATAAGTGAGCGGTAAGCAATCTAGTGTTTGTTTAGTCTTGAGTTCGAATCAGATTTTACCGATCAGGTTGCAGCAATGTGGCCACTACCTTAAGTGACTGAACATCATGTGTACTATGTTTAATGCTAGGCGATTAGTGACAATCAATAAAATTTACGGAACTAGGTTTCATGCTAGTTTTAACACATTAACAAAAAGAGGAAGGGAATACGAATCCAATTTGGTGGTTGATAAAATCCCTTCTCCACGACTTGTGGAGTAGGACCTTGAAGTTTAAAGCTCTGACGTGAACCTTCATATAAGAGGATCCCTATCCTTGATTTGGGTGACTGGTCACATGTAATACAGAACATGATTCAGGTGAATCATTTCAAGTTATCATACGACTAGTGCGGATAAAATCATTTCAAGACAAATTACAGATTAGCAGAAGCAGCAACGGTGTAAGTGGTACTAGAATAAATTAGGTACACAAAAACAAGAAAAGTTAAAAGATTTCAAGATTTACACCCATGATTGTGAACGATAATGAGTCACATCACCAAAGTCTTTAACCTGTGGTTTTATAATAATCACAACGATACCAACTACATCGACTACACCTATTACCATAGTTCAGTCCAATTGCCTACAAATTCGTACATTGATTCCATGTCTTGCTTTGATCACTCCTAGCTTTTTTCAGTCTACTCACACACTAAAAAACATCATCTGTCAAGGTAGATGATGCTTGTGCAAACATCTACGAGGAACCCTTAGAAGACGTTCATGATCAATTACTAGTAAAGTACAAATATCCTATTTCCATAATTGCTATGTTTCATATCCATAAAGTAGAAGAGTGAACAACCGCGCAGGAAGCTCGTCCTTTGATTGGTAGACGGGTATCTGGTCTATGCCGCAAGTGAAGCACGCTGAAAAAAGTCGGACGAACTTTCTGAATGGTTGTTGAGACTTTGTTAGATGCTAATCGAGCAGAGTGGATGAAGCTTTTGAGGAAAGTCAAGTGATCGACACGCTCAACTAACTCACTTCCTATCCTTAATTCCTTTGTCGACACATATCAGTTTTGAATCAACTTATTTTCAAAACACCATTACTACTTTTTCGAAGAAACTATCATCAAGATCGAAGTAAATAGAGATCAGAGTTTGGATTTGGAACCTAGTCGGTTGAAAATTTAAGTGCCTGTAACCAATTAAGCACTGCTTCATACTAGCTATCAAAATGAAGATTCAACTAAATAAAACGAAAATAATGTAAAAATACACATCACTAAATTATGACATACACCTTACACTTATTTTAAAGGAATAATAAGACGAATAAATTATGTACATCAACACAAGGATGTAGGTATATCCCCTGGCTGAAAAGTTCAAATAAGATGAAAAGCACACCATGGATCTCGCTGCTTAGTCAATATTCACCTACGCTAAACAAAAATTGTGAATAATAGGTACATCACGGCAATCTGTACAGGAATCATAGTTCAGAAAAAACTGATCAAAAGACGGAGTCATGAAACAACGGAATAATTCAAACCTTTACTACTTATAAATAAACTAGTCTAAAATTCTGAAAAATAAATAACATTTAATGTTTATACATATATATATATATATATATATATATATATATATATATATATAAACAGGAGGAAAATCATTAAAACACATCACACTGATTTACCTTGAAATCAGTACAAGTAAGAAAGTGAATAAATACTGAACTATGAGATACAACCGGATGTTTACACATACGAGTTAACCATTGTTGTAACCATTTACGACGTTCATCAACAAAGTCATCTTCATATCGACCTGATTATGAGGTAGCAAAAATGGGTTAATTAGAAAACTTTTCAAGGTATTGAAATTGTTGAGTTACATTTATTTAACTAAACGCATAAGGATTTTGATTGTTACAGGATTAAATTTAAAAATGTAGACATACATACATGTATTTTTGACTACTTGAGGAGTGAATCTGTGACTGCACAAGTTGATTTTCAAACAAGAGCGTAAGTTTCAGGCCATATCTACCCACTTCAGTATGGGTAGCCGGAGAGGATTAGTAACCCTTTGAAAAAGCAGTACAACTGAAAGCCGAGTGGATAAACTTCAATTTGAGCTTTGATATGTCTAATGAAAAGCATCCCAGTTTGCCCACTCAGTGAAAAGGATATATGATTATGTGTGGGATAGTTTATTTTATATTATAAACTACTTTTTCATTTCTCACTGTGCAATTGTGTCAATGTAAAATTTAGGAATTTGAGTGACTGAGTTCATGTGATTAGTCCACATTCCTATGTGTAAAATCAAAGCTTCTTCAGCAATATTACAAAAGGAAGACCTCAGTTATTCAGCTAATCGGTTTTGTAGAGAATAAGGTACAATTTACGAGTCGTTTTGATTACACACTGATGTAAGTTAATATGTTATTGAGAAACGAAAGGTGGATTACTGAAGAGTGCAATTATTAGAAAGAGTCAGTCAGTTGCAACCTAGAACCTGATATGTATGTAAATTGGTTCATTTTGTCACACCTCGTCAACACAGATGAAGTTGTCAGGTCAAATCACAGAAGAGGAGTGGTAGTAACAGTAAGAAAAATTAGACATCGAAGAAACGGTTCAAAAATATATAAATTAGCAAAATAAGAGAAAAAGGTTATGAAGGATTTAGAATCGCAGGATCTCGGGGAAAATAAAAAAATAACGAAATAACTGTCTAATACTTCTTAGATTGCAATCTTTTTCCATTACATACATTAATTCGTAGTGAAATACTACCGACCAAAAAGAGTCGGAAAATTGCTTATCGTTAACAATTTAAAAAAAGGTATGTTGCAGAGAAACATAATGCCCCCCTATAAATAAACAATTTATTAGTATGAAATTTATGGAGAACTAATCAGTTTTGAATATTTCAGAATAATAATAGAAACTTGGATTAATATAAAAATACTCAGTGAGTTTTGAACTCTGCTATAAATATGACAACGCATAAAGCAAAGATGATTACAGGAGGATAACTAAGAAATTATTGCCGATATTAAGGGGTAGTTGTAGGAAGCAAACGAATAATAACAATAATAATTCAATGATAATGGATTGATTTTAATCAATAGAAAATTACGATTGGGAGATACAATTGTAAAATGGTTATATACGCAAGAACACAAACAAGCATCCATTAAAAGTAGGTGTTATTGAAGAAATAAAAACAATTCAGAGTAGAAAATATGCTCTTAAAAAAGATCGTTTACTGAAACTGAATAATCGTTTATATGGAGATTGTTGCATTTCCATAGTTTACACCACGGACTGGATTGCAGTTAGACAACCACTGCAAACCAAGAAATACTGGTCTAGAGCTTAAACAATCGCAAAGAGATAGAAGGTCCTGAGCTTGACTACGGTGGGACCACGGCTGTGCACTAATGAGCCCTGTACTAGAATGAAACGGCTTTTCAGTACTTCCTGGCTTCTAATGAATGAAAGAATAGGAATCTGTCACTTTTAAAAAATTTTGTTTTTCAATTTTCCACACAATAATCAAAATTTAAGGATTCAGATCACTAAGGAAAGGAAGTCACAATAAATGGATCTTATCTGCTGTGAACAAGTATCGGTGTATTCGTACGATGATTTAGCATGAAATTGTGTTTGTAACTCAACGACAAATTAATGCTCTGGAAATCTATTTACAAACAATGATAGTAACAGAAGTAAGAAAAGGTAACCATAATTATTTTAAATGACAACAATGAAAATTATGTAGTTGGAAATCATGTACTGTTCATCATTCAAATAATGACTATTGATATATACGGGATAAAGTATACGCACGATTCCTATCATCGTTTGGCATGAATTGGGTACCTCAAATGCAACACATAGTGACTAAATAGAGGTCCCAGAGCTAAAAGAATTGAAACCATATATTTTGTATGCAGACTAGTGTTAATATTAGCCTGGTTGAAGGAATTTGAGAATGAAGGACTTAATCTTAGGCCATTCAGTCAGTTGGAACTGACTGGATCCATCAGTTAATTGTCTAATATCCACCTAATCATCCTTCAACTTTGTACATGTGAAAATACATACCGTAAACATTCTTTTTTTGTCCGAATCATTTTCCAAGTAATTATCTTCTTTTTTTCAGTCAAATCGGATCTATTAAGCGTTAGGGTAAATTTATCAAAAGGTGACTTGTGTATTACAGTTTAATTAAATTAAATGAACAATAATGATAATAAAAAATAAACAAAATAAGTGAAAATGTTCAAATGAACAAAACAACCATATTTCATTATTAACAAACTATTCAGTTAAAAAATATGACGATGTAAGTAGAAACGGTTGTATATAATTAATTGTTTAATAATTGACAATCAATTTATTTTCACTGAAAATTCATTCAATAAATAACAATTTTATATATAGTTGAAATCAAGAGTCAATTGAAGATAGACCATCATGGAATACCTGGAAGCACTGGACGGCCGTTTCGTCCTATTGTGGGACTCCTCAGTAGTGCGCATCCACAATCTCGCCTCGCGAGATTCGAACCAAGGGCCTACTAGTCTCACGAGCGAGCACTTAACCGATAGACCACTGAGCTAGCCGGCATCCAACGGTGTTCATGTCTAACTTCAACCAATTCACGAAGTTGAGAAACCATTTCACCAATGTCTTCAGTGAGTTGATATCTTTCAACAGACCTGGTTAAACTCCACTGGTTACTGCTTCTCACTAGAACTCCAGGAAATACCTCATTTTTCATATATATATATATATATATAATGACAGCTAATTGGGTATGTATTTTTTTTAGGTCCTAGTTTGGACAACATCTGATGTAATTTCAATCTTGTTATCTGAAAAATGATGAAGGGGATTATGTGTATGAAATACTTAGTTTGTTTTAGCTTACCTGAACTCGTATTTTTCACTCAAATGTGTTGGGTTAACAATTCTAAATAGTGATATACAGCAAATAACAAATGTATTTAGAGAAAAATGTCAAGAAAAGTAGTTTATTTATATGTGCTATTCCTGCGACACATGATCAATGTCATTTCAAAAAAAACATCCTCCAGTCTATATGGTAAAAATACACAATGATGTAGATCATACAACTTTAGTCTACTGAATGTCAATAGAGTAACATATCACAATATCTGAGACTGTTATGTTGTTACAAAAATGCGGACGATGAATTGGAAAACCTTGTCATTTGACTGATGTTAAAAGTACAAAGGATGGAGTGCTTTAATATGAACAGATCAACCGATTCCGACTAATCTCATATTCTGAGTATGATTTTTGAACCGTTAAAGTATACAAATAAAGCAGTTAGTCAAACATTCAAGAAATATATATATATATATATATATATATATATATATATATATACCTTACCTGTAATGGCTTTCTCCGGTAATGGTGGGATACAAATGCATGGATATTTTGATAATAAACGGGAATGAAGCCAATCAAAATGTTTATATCTTCTACTGACTTGTTTTTGAGTAACCTGCAATTTTTTTTAAAAAAACACATATAGACAAAAAAGGGTAATAAAAGCGACACATTAATTAAACAAACCATTCACTAGTCAGTAATTTTTCGGCCCCAATAAGAACAAACACAGTTCGTAAAAAATAAAATAATGTGTACAAAACATGTGATTCACCACTGTCGATGAGGCTTGATATTTCAGGAACGACAGCATTAATAAGTAAATACGTGACTAAACTAGGTGACGGTTCGGAAGAATTCATCAGGTTTAATCATAGGGACAGGAGAAGCATTAGAACGTGATAGAGGGATTCAGTCGTAAACAAGGATGTGATAATCATTGTCAATTTCCGGTTTCTCACACCCTGCGGGGATATTTCTTCTTGAGACCTGAAAAAGAAACATGGTTAGGGGTGGTCCTGAGAACAAGAGAGCATGACTTCAGAACATAAGGAACAACTGTTGGAGGTTGATAACACATGGGACTTTCGTGGCGAGATTTTGATGTGTTAGTTCTGTGCTTTGAAAGGCCTTAGCGCAGGGGGCGGAAATTCCTGGGCTTAGATGAGAAAGACATTTTTAGAGTCGACCTTTCCATTCGCTGTGAAAGGGCAGCATTGCTGCAGATGTTAGTTATCAGATGAAAACGCTTTACTGCTCTCACGCCTCCGTATATCCAAAAGTAGGACTTCGCCCTCGAATCTTAAGTTGTTGCTTTTAGCCTTACAGTCTTTTAACCGACCTGTCTAGCATAATACGACTTGAAGGAACGAGTGTTAAGTGCAATATAGTATGACTGAATCATCATGATAGGCAAACCCGAACACTATTTTAAGGTTTCCATCATGGTTAGTAAGTAGTGGTACGCATCTTTCGAAGGATTTCGTACTTCAGCATGGTAAGGCTCTCCACGAATGAGAATCTCATACTATTATTAGTTCCAAACGAATTCGTAAGGGCCAACGTGACGTCAGCTGGAGAAATACAGAAAACGAGGAGACATCATAGAAGAGCCATGTCATCTTGATTTGAGAATACTCAGCCGTTTTCACGAGGCTTAATAGCTCAAATTTGTTGAGCTGACTGTGGGAACTCAGTGTCTTGCTTTTGATAGGGGAGATGCTGAGAAGTTCAAAAATAAGGTAGCGATAGTGATGAAAATCACCGTAAACAAACATGTTAATTAGATGACATCCTTTACAAGCATAACGTTTACTTGTTTTAAGCTGTAAAGGTAACCACAACTTGATTAATACCTATCAAGATTTTAGCATCGAACATTACGATCATAACCAAACTATTCCTAATACTACTCTGTTTTTTCATCATGATAAATAATTTATTACCATCAGTCATCTGAAGTGTAGAACCTAACACGTATGTAAATCACTTCAAGTTGCCATGCAGCATTAGCTGCATCAAATAGATGAGATTGTTTCTAAACAACTCGCAGAGTAGTTGAAGTAGTGACATTATTAGTAATAATAAAAAGGACTAGGTATAGATAAAAAGAGTGAGATTTCAGGACTCCAGTTTTAAAGGAAGATAAAGGGTTCACTTTTGCCACTCAGAACGACTGAGACACTTTACACAATGTCTAACCAGTTATAAAAATCACAAGGATACCAACTACATCAACTACACCTATTACCATAGTTCAGTCCAATTGTCGACGACTTCGTAGATTGATTTCATGTCTTGCTTTGACCACTCCTAGCTTTTTTCAGTCTACTCACATACTACACAACATCATTCGTCAAGGTAGATGATACTTGGGCGAACGTAACACACATTCCGACCACCGCAGTTGATAAATATTTATTACCTCATTTATCGATCTCCCATATTTACCTAGTATGATATGTCTAACCTCGACATCGCCTTACTACTCCATGGTCCAAACATCTACGAGGAACCCTTGGAAGACGTTCATGATCGATTACTAGTAAAGTACAAATATCCTATTTCCATAATTGCTATGTTTCATATCCATAAAGTAGAAGAGTGAATTAAGCCATGTCAAGAAACAACAATTAATCGACATTAATGAGGTAAAGCTAAAGAATTTGATAACGAAATGCATTGGAATAATCTATTCAGATCTCAACATCATTCCCTTGACACTCATCTTACTTATTCTGCCAAACTACTGGGCAATGAGACTGATAGAATTAATATGATAATAACGACAGGATTGTAATACCATTGGACAGAGAATAACAACTCCCCGTTTTCTCTTACACCTATGCAATTGTCATGTACAATAATGAACGTCAGGAAAAATAGCTTTTCTTTATCGATATTTATTAGATTGTCAGGCACGACCAAGTCGTCGTGAGATTACTTACATGTCTTCCTGTAAAATGGTCCACGAATTGATGAACATGTGAACAAAAACAAAAACGTGATGGTCGTATTTGAATCTCAGAAGGCAGTTATACATTACACAGTTGTCTGTTTTTCCTTGACCCAACGTTTTTCATAAAGTTAAGAAGCAAGGCTGAAGCTTGTCTATCTGGTATACTATTCGAAGTGTTATTTATGGAGGAACCTATCATCCTTTTCCTTTCTAATGACCATTTCCTAAACCTCAAAGATCCTGTTAATCCATGTACATCGGTAAAGACAATTGTACCGCTTACTGGGATTCACATAATCCGGTTTATGACGATGTTATTTATATAACAGTTACTTTGGAGAGAGTGAAAAGTGAGTCAGCCTCTCTTAAATTTCTGCTAACGACACAAAAGCGGTATCGAAATATAACTTTATCACGTCTATGTTTAAATTCTAGTGGCTTCATTCCTTGATTACAACCATATAAAATGGTTTTTATTACATTATCGTCAAAATTAAAAAGTTTCTGATCAATAGTCAACATTCTTGTTTGAAATTTAAGCCATGATACCAAAATAAAGGTTCTTTAACCTGACTAATTCGATTCTGTACTTCATAGCTTTATCATGTACACTTTCGCTTTTCTAGTCATTTATTAATTAGATGGAATTATATACATATTCCGGGTAATTAATCACACAGTTTATCCTATTATTCCTGTGTGAGATTATTCATTCGTTTCTAATTATCTAATAAGTGTGAAGTATCCATTACATTTCACTCTTAGTAAATTAGTTAGTGAAGCAGTAAAACACTATAATCATGTGACTACTTTTCGCTTCATTTCATTTCATTTAATAGACAATTTGATCTTAAGGCGTAAGAATCAATAAGAAATCGCAAAAGATTAAATGGTCATCTGAAAAAGACTATGCTCTTTACAATCTTATTCGTATTCGATTGTAAATTATTCATTTTTATCACCTGTTTTTTGAAAGGTCCTCTTAACAGTTGCTTAAGTTCATAGCCTCCAATAAAATGCCATAAATACATACCATTTATTACTTGGTATGAAATATAATGTTTTCAACAGGACAAGAAAGCTCAACTTGTGAAAACTGATAAATTAGAAGTCAAAATTCAATTATTATGTACTCCATGCATTAGATCACATTTATTATGTAACGACATTCGGTAATACTAATTAACCAACTAAATCATGCTAACAGGATTAGTGAGAACGAGCAATCAACCTATATTGAGAACCAAACCTTTTTATTTCGTCATCTCGAATCATATTCTTAATGTTAATTTTTTATCACTATTATTGCTACTAAAATAATTTCAAATTCAACTGTTACTTATTATGTTAACTTGATATTTCATAATGGTGCTGGTGCTGTATGGTAACTTGAGCTAATGGACATTGATGACAACTAACTAATAAATTACATCTCTATGTTTACTAATACGTGTACATACGTTTTGAAGACCCACACATCCAATAAGTCAGTTTCGTTTGATCATCGAATAGAATCGATATATCGAAATAACATATCAATGGAAAATAACTAATACATGAAGTCACTATGTGGGTTATTATAATCAGAAACACTAGAAATATATATATGATAAATAAGAAATAACCGGAAAACCTACTGAATTAGTTATTTGATAGGTGATAAAACTTTTAATCCCCTTCATTTTTGAATCTTTACGAAACGATGAAATACAACTGGTGAGATCGGATGACAAACGACGCCATTGGAAAGAATCACATACATACTAAAATAGAAGAGTAGTAGCAGTAAATAAAATGAGGGTAAAATAAATGATCAAACAACTAGATAATTAGATAGAAGTAAAATACACAATGTATTTTATTTCAATCTATAAACAAAGATTAGTTAATGTTAGTTTCTATCTCTTATGAGAACCCCATGCACCAAATCTAATCAAATAACTTAAACCCAGAAACCTAAATTTGAATTACTTTTTTGTGGATGATGAAAACTTAATGCTAAATGTTTACTGAAAATTTAACATACGAATTTATATATTCTTAACCAAATATACGCAATAAAATCGTAAAATTTAACCTATCAAGTTTAACTGTAAAAGAGTTTCGAAGATTATGAAATCGGAAATTAGTTCTTTATCACGAGCTGACATTAGATGAAGAACTATTAGAATCCAAGAGGCAGAAAACAGATGTTTGACTATGGCTTGTAATTCTTCAATAGTGTGTACAATGAACGACGCTACGTACATTAGGGCTCGGGACTATCTGGTGTAGTGGTGAGCGAGGTAATTTTAGACCACTGAGTTAGAATCTACAAAGTCGATATTCTTGACTTTAATGAGTTCGCAAAATATGATTATTTCGTCTTGCTGGTGATAACCGCCTCACTTCCACCGTAAATTTAACGAAGAAAAAAGAAAATGGTGCATTTGTATCATTTGTTGAAAAAGAACAATGCTAAAAACAATCAGGCGATGTAATTTTCATTGGCTAGAATAGACAAATATTATACAACGTAAAACGTATCAAACTGACATATTGGTTCAACTTCTCAATAAAAAAATCTCAGTAAGTGCAGTTACGAGAGCTCTGAATAATTAACAGCACTTCAAATGTCACGTACAACAAAACTTATAAAATGAAAACAAGTTTACGTGACCAAAGGTGGTACGTTAACAATCTATGGCAGAGTCAAATAACGCACACAAATGTTCGCATGTCATGTTCTGATCTAACCAACCTGCAATTGTTTGCACTCCAGCTCTATGTCAACTGACATCGAATGCAATGACAGTAAGTAACCATCAACCTACTTAGCTAAGCATGTAAAAACAACTAGTTCAATTAATAAGTCATAGTAACATACATCATAGTGTGGCGCTCATATTTGGTGCCCCTTTGTACTATTATTTATATGTTTAAATAAATAAATAATACATCATAGACTTAAACAGTTTACAAGGAGGTTAAAAATACACAGAAATAGTTTGACTATTACAATTAGTGTTTCTTATACTTATACCCTAAATTTATATTATTGATTGTTATTTATTTATTTATTTATTTAAACACATAAATATTGGTACAAGGAAGCACCAGATATATATGCGCCTCACAAATCTCATTCGATTTGTGTGAGGGCTGTGATACTGCCCAGGTGCCCAAACCGAAGCAGGTGGTTTTCTTAAGGGGCCACACCCGGAGCCTTTGACCTGAATGCCTGATCCACAAGGCAGTGGAGCATCGTGAGGAGATGCAGTCCCATGGTAGCCGGTGATCAACGGTTGATTCGTATGCCATTTGTTCCCTCAGGATACTGGAGCCCATGTGCACCACTGGTTTGGAATCAGGGTTTTCCAACTCCCCTAGGTGGACCCTCCATGTCCACCAACCCGGTTAAAGCGCAGGACATTCGCTTTTCGTCCTCTCACTTTCGTAAACAACACCCCCGCCACGAGAAGGCAGTGAGTAGGACTTCCCTGGCAGAGGCTATATATTCGCTGGCCATATGAGAGTATTTCGAGAGGGAGAGGTGACTCTCCCCGCTCTCGGCCGTACCAGGGCATTTGGGGGCATTATTGATTGTTAGCATTTTTAATCTAGTAGGTACATTTTATAAGAAGCATAAAACAGTTAACAGTATAGTAGAAACTATGAATGAACAGTTTCATAATAATGTGAGTGGATTGTGAAATGTGATAATAGTTAGCAATTGTGTCTAGGGTTAAAATTATAACTGAGTTGCGACTACGCCAGGTGGTTAGTGAGTACGTAAAGTAAATGTTGTCGAAGAAAGCAACAACAAGTTTTTTACTTGGGTTAGATTGTATTGGGCCCCGTGTGGTCTGGGCGTAATGACGTCAAAGCAACTGGATGATGTCTCTCACTGTCTTTAGTCCGATTATTGATTAGCTCATCTATATTGTCAATAGGACATGTGACCTATTTACCAATTATTACATCGACCAACGAACAACAATCAAGTCATTAACCTTGACTGGCCCTCGAACTCCTTCTAATCCAGTGGCCAATCAGAAAACGAAGGCAAAAAGCAGTTCAGTTCTCCATTGTACAGAATTCAATCCTAACACTACACTGGAACATCGCTCCCAAATGCCCTGGTATGGCAAAGGGTGGGGAAAGTCCGCCTCCTTCAAGTGTTCTCATATAGACACGCGTGTATAGTCGTTACCAAGAGAGTCCTACTCACTGACTTCTAGTGGTGGGGGTACTGCTCACAAAATTGAGGGGACGAAAATCGAATATCTGGCGTTTAAACCAGGTTGTGGGTACGGAGGACCCACCTAGGAGAGTTGAAAAACCTTGATTCCAAATCAGTGGTGCACATGGGCTCCAGGATCACGCGGGAACAAAGAGCGTATGAACCTATTCTTTGTCACTGATTACCCTAAGACATCTTTCAACGTTGCCCTACTACCTTATGGAATAGACCTCTGGGTCAGAGCTCGTGGGTGGACCCTTAAGGAAACCACCTTCAGTTGGAACAGCCGGCTAGTATACCAGCCCACAAACAAACTTGATTATTTATTGTGTAGCGCACATTTATTTTGGTGCCCGTCTCTAACAATGCGTGTGGTTAAATAAATGAAAAAGTAAATAAACTAACAGTTAAAAACGGAAAGTAAACCTAGAAAAATTAAACTATTTAAAAACAATGTACTTTCCTAAATCCTTTGATAAACAGTCGTTATTTTTCATAATAATGTATAGACGAAATTTCCATTATGATCACATTAACGTCACTAGCCTTCTGGCTACTAACATGATAGCGTCACTGACCAAGCTACAAAACAGATTATTAACGGGGATATAAAATAACTACTTATATTTTTCATTACGCCAGCTCCACAATCAAATTTGATAAAATTTCCTGGATTTGGGTCGAAGATGATTTAGCTAAATACCTAACATTTTATATTTTGTTTCTCTGACATGAAAGGTGAGTATAAATACTCACTAGATGAAATCTAGGCCGAAATCAAGCTGACAGTTGGTGCTCACGATTTCGTTAATAAGCCGATAATCTAGTTCAAATAATATGATGATATTGAGATATGTAAAATAGAAGGATACAAACTTAATTATTTCGAAAGCTCAGTATAGCACTTTTATTGACTTATTAGATTTGACTCATATGAATGAAGAGTACAGTTAAAGATGTCATGAAGTGATTGGAGCTAGACAAACATCAACACCATTAATATTGACTCAGTGGCCCAGAGATGTTGTTTTTACGAACGAGAATGAAGGTTCTGAGTTTGATCTGTAGTGAGGTCGTGGATGCACGCTGTTTAAGAGTTCTATGCTAGGATGAAATCGCCTTCCAATGATTACGGCTTTTCAATGGTGGTGTTACTGAATTCAGTGTAATCTAAACCATAGAAAATCAATATATCACAGAAATCTTATTTATTTATTTATTTATACACATAAATATTGTTACAAGGAAGCACCAGATAAATATGCGCCTCACAAATCTCATTCGATTTGTGTGAGGGCTGTGATACTGCCCAGGTGCCCAAACCGAAGCAGGTGGTTTTCTTAAGGGGCCACACCCGGAGCCTTTGACCTGAATGTCTGATCCACAGGGCAGTGGAGCATCGTGAGGAGATGCAGTCCCATGGTAGCCGGTGACCAACGATAGGTTCATACGCCATTCGTTCCATCAGGATCCTGGAGCCCATGTGCACGATTGGTTTGGAAATAGGGTTTTCCAACTCCCCTAGGTGAACTTTCCGTGTCCACCAACCCGGTTAAAGCGCCGGACATTCGCTTTTCGTCCTCTCACTTTTGTGAACAACACCGCCGCCACGAGAAGGCAGTGAGTAGGGCTTCCCTGGCAGAGGCTGTATACGCGTGGCCATGTGAGAGCATTTCGAGAGGGAGAGCGAACTCTCCACTTTCCGACGTACCATGGCATTTAGGGGGCTCACAGAAATCTTACAATCTAGATGTTGTGTACTAGTTGAGAATACCTAAAAAATCTACACATCCTGGACTAAGGGATTTATCAGTTATGTAGCAAACATGTTACCATTTAGCAACTCCGTCATGAAGACCAATTTTAAAATTCTTGATTACTAGATGGTTTCTGATTTTTTACACTACTTCGACAAACAAATAAACTCTAGGCATGTATAAAAAAATAAATTACATATACCACCCAATTCGATACCATCAGGACACGTTTACATCTTACATTTTGACGTGAAATTCGAACATGCAAACTAAGTTTGGAAGTTCATTTCTTAAAAAGCATAAAAACAAATTAAAAATAGCTACATTACTTATCAACTGACATCAATATTAGCTTCGGTCTGAGGAAAAGGTGGTGGATCAAGACCCAGTAAAAAATCTTCACAACCATTACGGATGAATGATCTGTGATGAGGTCAAAGAAATGTTAGAATGAAAATGAGAAAATTACAGCAGCTTCCATATGAATTTATTGTTATAATGCAAAAACTCATTGGATCTAAATGAACGCAATTTTAAATCAGATAGGATCAGCTAACTTAATCTTAGCTAAAACTCACTGATATATGATATATTACAGTACATTTTTTCCAGTCAACTGAACCATGAGTTTCACCGAAAAATTATTACAGTATTTAAAAAATACATTCGTATTTATAATTTATTAGTGAATGCGTGAAACGAATAAAAAAATGATGCACAAACTGGACTAAGTCATAATGTGTTGTTTTTGATTATCACGTGGATCCAAACCAGGTAGTCTACAACTATTAACTTGGTTTAATCCAATTGTCAGTGACTTCACGCACTGATGCTAATATTTTAGTTTGACCACCCCTAGCTTCCTAACACCCTACTCCTACATTAGAAAACACAGTCCGTCGAGATAGGCATGGGCAATACATATCCCAACCATCTCAGTTGGTGAAGATTTACTACTTCATTAATTGGTTTTTCATCCTTACCTAATTCCCTGATCCTAACCTCGACATTGCTTACTCAGTGGTCTCAAATTACACGAACAATGCTTCAAAGACACTAATGATCGAATACTAGTGATCTACGAATATTCTCTATTCTGAATGGCCATGTCTCAAACCCATAAAGTAGGACGGAACGAACTACTGAGCAGTAAACTCGTTCTTTGGTTGAAAGACAGATACCTCGCCCATCCCACAAATGATGCAGGTTGGCAGAAGTTAATTGAGACTTCTGAATCCGGGCCGAAATTTTGTCGGACATCAAAGCATCAGGACTGATGAGACTCCCCAGGTAACTGAAGCTGTCAACACGTTCAGACACCTCACTCCCTATCACTAATTCAGACGATGACCCAGACCAGTTCTGAAGCAATACTTTGCATTTGGAGGGAGAGAACAGCATCTCAAACATGTCTGCATTGTTGCTTAAAGTGGTCTAAAGACTGCATTTCGTCAGCATCACCAAACCGAACTATATCATCTGCATATTCCAAGTCAACAATCGAATCTCACAGTGGCAGATCAACACCTGAAAAGTAAGACGGTGAAAGTGTTATCTCAAGAAGCATATCTATGACAAAGTCAAATAAGAATGAGGAAAGCGGACAACCCTGACGAACACCACTTGAAATAAGCAATTCCGATGACCATTCGCTGCCATAAGGCCTGACTCAAGTAGTGATGTTCGAGTAGAGGGCCTGTACAATGTTGATGTACTTTTTTGGTACGCCATCCAATTAGCCAGTCAGTCACAACGTAGAACTTCGTACGCACGTACATCAGTTCGAGTTGCCATAACACATTAGCACAAACATGCAGTTGTTGATTCCAATCCCATAGTGGTAGAAGAAGTAAGAGTATAAGCAGGAGTCGGAAAGATTAGAGTTTGAAGATGTTATTCAAGGAGTATAATCCAGTCAAATAAACTCGGAAAGAGAAAAAAAGAAAGGGACATGAACAATTCAGAAGACTAGAATTTGGGAGAACACAAAGAGTGGATGCACCTGCGCCGTTGCAAACGATTTTGAGCCATGTCATTCAGGGTCTCTAATCATAGGTTGTTATCATCCCGCAGATCCCAACCAGGTAGTCTACACCTACCAACATGGCTCACTCCACTATTCAATGACTTCATCAATTTGTGCCACATTTTGGCCTGGCCAGTCCCTAGCTTTCTCCCAACCTACTCCTACACCATAAAACATTGCACGTCGGGGTAGTCGGTGGTTGAGCATACGTAACACGTGTCCCAGCCATCATAACTGATGAAGTTTCACTACTTCATCAATCGATTTACCATCCTTACCTAGTATCTGTTTCATAACAACTGCATTACTTACTCGGTGGTCCCAGGATATACGAGCAATGTTTCGAAGACACCTATGATCGAATACTAGCAGCCTACCAATATCATCTACTCTTACCGGTCATGTTTCACAGCCATAAAGTAGGAGGGAGCGAACTGCTGCGCAGTAAACCCATCCTTTGGTTGTTAGACGGATGTCTCACCTACGCCATAAATGACGCACGTTGGAGAAAGCTAGACGAAACTTCTGTATCCGTGCTGAGATTTCGTCACATACCAGACCAAAAGGGCTGATGAGACTCCCAAGATAAGTGAAGCGGTCAACATGCTTAAATACTTAACTCCCTATCATTAGTTCAGGTGCCGATGCAACCCGATCCCGAAGTAACATTTCGCATTTCGAGGAGAAGAATCGCATCCCGAACATGCCTGCATAGTTGCTTATAGTGGTCAGAAGACTTTACATTTTGTCAGCGTCTTCACCAAATAGAACTATATCATCGGAGTATTCTAAGTCAACAAGTGAATCTCCTGGTAGAAGTTCAACTCCTAGAGATTTAGATAAGGAAAGTGTCCTCTCTAAAAGCACTTATACGATAAAGTTAAACAAGAATGGAGAGGGTGGACAACCCTGACGAACACCACTTCAGGTAATCAACTGTGATGACAGTTCGCCATAAGCTTCAACTCGACCAGCTGTGTTCGAGAAGAGAGCCTTTATGAGGTTAATGTACTTCTTTGATACTCCTTTCAGTGACAAACACTGCCATAGAACCTCACGATCGACGGAGTCAAATGCCGCCTTACGGTCGAGAAATACTAAAATTGTGGGGCGTCTGGATGTGTCTATGTTCTAGGACTTGACGTAGTGTGAATATCTGGTCTATACAACCACGTCCAGGTCGAAAACCAGCCTGATTTTCTCTAGTTAGTTCTTCACGAGCTTTGGTTACGCGTCAAAGTAATATTGAAGTTAATAATTCAGACACTAAATTAGTCAAACTGATTCCTTTGTGATTGTCACAAGAGGACTTTTGTCCAACCAGTAATTGGGACCAGTCAGAAGGAATTACGTTTAGTTCCCACATTCCACCTAAGACCTCAGTCAATTTCGCTGCTAGTACTGGACCGCCATCCTTAAAAATCTCAGGGGTAAACCTGTCAAGGCCTGCTGCTCTCCCACGCTTTAGATTTCCTATAGCTTTTTCAACCTCGCAAACAGCTGGAGGACTTACATTAACTTGCCATTCAGGTCGACTGGGGATCGTGGGAAACCGAAGTGTGGCTGAGGGCCAATTGAACTGATTCCTAAAGTGTTCCGTCCATCGATCCAATCTCCTGGATTGAGAATGAATGATATGTCCATCTTTTTCCGAAACAGTTTCACTGGCAGTTGGGTTTCAAATACCAGTTTCCTTAACAAGTCTTAACAGTTTTCTGTTTTCGCCTTTTGCCGCTGCCTTTTCCATCTCTCTTGCTTTCGCCACCCACCACTGTTTGCGATAATTGCGTAGGTTTCTTATCGGCCTACGCTTAAGCTGACTCCACTCTTCGTTATGTTCAGAGCCAGATAGAATGAGTTTTCGAGCATCTATCATTGCGGGAGATGCTTCTAAAATCAAGTGTTTCTCCCTAATTATAAGATTTACTGTACTAACAGATATCACTGCTGATTCCACAGCTTTTCGGGTGTCATTCCACGCTACCTCGGGGTGGGCACAACTCACATGATAGCCTAACTGTTTTTCTAGTTGTTCCTGAAATATATTCTTAGCTTGCATATCATTAAGTAGAACCCTAAGAGGCTTCCTTGCAGCGTCTTTCCTACGTCCAGTAAAACGCAGACAGATACGTGCTCGCACTGGAGCATGATCTGAATCTATACATGTGCTCCAGGACAAGCGACAGTCTTCTCTCGAGCCCCTCCATCGGTGGCTGATGGCGATGTGATCTAGTTGGGTCCAACGTTGGGATGAATTCGGGAGTCGCCATGTCAAAAGATGTTTTTCCTTGTGCTTAAAGTTAGTATTTGCAAGGAGTAGGCGGTTATCTGAGCATAGCTGCAACAGACGGTCGCCATTATTTGTTCTTTGAGCCGCCACACCATAAGATACACCTAGGTGTCTTTCCGTTTCGCTTAGTTTACCTACTTGAGCATTAAGGTCACCAGCCACTATTATTACATCAGAGCGCTTAGCTTTTCGGAGGTCGGAGAGCTTTCTGAAAAACTCATCTTTTACATCATCTGAGCCGCAGTCAGTAGGAGAGTAGGCAGAGACGACGAAGCAACGACGAGTGTGCCTTTCTTTCTGAGTCCTTACTGTTACGTTTAGTTGGACAGCGCACAGACGACTGTCTACTGGGATCCAGTCTAAAAGACCTAGTTCTGCCCTAGGACTCAATGCTATACCTATGCTAGCGAGACCACGGGAAGCAGTATCAGGGCTTCCAGATACACGAAGTGCGGATCAAGTTAGTTCTTTATTATGACATGGTGAGGTCAAATGAATGACGCTACTCAGATCTTGTAAGCGCGTTTTGGAGACGCAGCACACATCGATGGTACGAGATTCTAAAGTCTTAGTTAAGGAAGCCTTTTGTCCTATTTGGCACAATGTTCAGATGTTAAAAGTTGCTACATGAAGTTTAGAGCGTGGTTTTAAGAGACCATGAATGACGTTTCATGTACTCGAATCGTTTGCCCTAGCGGTGCGAGGTGATAAAAGGACGTGAGGAGGGTTAGTCACGGAGATAGGAGAGTTATTAGGAGGTGTAGGAAAGATTTGAATGTGACCAACTTGGTCTTGTGCGTTGTTACGGGTATGGGAGCTGATATCATTTCCTGGCTGCTCACACCGTGGAAGGGTATTTTTGAGGGACCTGAAAAGGAAGTTGGATTAATGTTAGTCATAACGACCTGGGAGCGTGACCGCAGAGTCCAGAGGACAACTTCTTGAGGCCAGTCACGTACGGCATTTTTGTGGTGGATTTTTGACGTGTTAGTTCCGTTCTTCAAAGGGCCTTACCGCCGGAGACGGAAATACGTGAGGAAAGGTGAGGCGTGAAATTTTTGGGGTCGACCTTTTCTAACCCCTTCCTTCCTTGTGAGAAGGCAGCATCGCTGCAGATGTTGGTTGTCCGAGGGAAACACCTTACTGCTGTCACATCCATCTACAGTCAGCAGTACGACTTCGCCCTCAGACCTCGAGTTGCTGCTTTTAGTCTTACCGTTCTCCAGTCGACCTGCCTGGCATGGTAGAACCTACAGGAACATATGTCCCAGCCAACATAGCTCGGTTGGATCATCACAATAGAAAAATACGACCACCACGTCAAAGTTGCAGCTACGGTCGGGTACGCCATCCAATGGTAGACACAGCAGAGTCAAATAATCCATTAAGGTCAAGGAATAAAACTACAGTCGGACGTTGGAAAGTATATCTTATTTCCAGGACCTACCAAAGGGTGAATATTTGATTGATAGACCCAAACCCAGGTCTGAAACCAGCATGGCCTTCTCAGGCTCGCTCTTCACAAGCATTAATTGTCCGAGTATTATTGAGGTAATTTTAGATACTACGCTGGTCAAACTGATTCATTTAGGGTTGTTACACCAGGATTTTTGTCATCTTTTACGGACTGGAACGATCAGTCAAATGGGATTACATTCCGTTCCAAGATTCTAGCTAAGATCTCAGTCACTTTAACTGCTAAAACTGGACCAGCATCTTTAAAAGTTTCAGGGACTGCTCCATATGAGCCTCTTGTTCCTCATTGTTTTAGGTTACTTATAGTCTTTTCAACCTCACTTATAGCTGGAAGACTTGTGTTGACTCGCCATTTAGGTTGCTTGGAGAATGTGGGTCACTAGAGTGTGTTTGGAGGTTACTTGAACCGTTCCTCAAAATTTTCTGTCTATCGCCCCAGTCTCTTGGATCAAGAGTGAATAATAGCCACACTAACAGCCAGATTTTTAATACCCGTCTCCTAGCTAAGTCTGAACAGCGGTCTACTGTTACTTAATGCCACTGCCTTTTCCATCTCTTCTGCTTTCGCTAGCCACCACTACTTACGATCAATGAGTACGCGTCTTACCAGCCTATGTTTAAACTGCCTCCGTTCCTCATCGTGTTCAAAGCCAGACGGGATCAGTTCCCAACCACATATCAGTTCAGTAGGCGCCACTAAATTGCTACCATACAACTAACAAGAGCATTAAGAAGTAAGGTTAATGAAACACAACAACCTTTCAACTTTGCTCGATATATATATTGTTGGTTTGAAAATCCATTAACGGGTAATTTAATGTGGTTGAGGTACTTGGTTTTTAACCATTCGGTCATATGTTTGAGTCACACTCCATTTAATTTGGTTTCGATGTACAGACGATTTTACTAGCACGCACACAAAAGTGAGTACATACGTGTTTGAACACGAATTTCATTAGGAAAACAAAATTCCTGGGCTGGGAAAGTCCAAAGAATCTCCGCGAATTTTTAAACGAATAACCATTAGGTCATTCTGAAACTAATTAACATCAAGACACACCCTAATTAGCAACCTGTATGAAGAATGTCAGTTAAGTGGCTACGAGTTGACAGGACAGATCGCTCAAAAGAAATACAAAGACAAACAAAGCTGACGAAACCTCTGGAAAACAACCATTCACTGACGTCATCAGAACAGACTGAGACAAGACTATAATTTATGGACAAACCATTTACGTATGAGAAAAACAGATCTTGGGTTTTGGTGAGAAATTCATCCATCCATTTGGCTAAATGGAGTTTTGGCACTATAGCTTATGTCAGTTCGTGACGAAAACCCTAAATCTAATTTCTAACCAAAATCATTAACTGTGAGTCATAATTCTAATTCCTCGAAGGTTTATAACCCTCAATTGGTCCTGGTTATTAGGCGGACACGCTCAAGGTCAGTCTGACGTTGCCCGAAGGTCGTCCATAAATTAATCTCACCCAGACTGATTTTACATTGGCAGTTTAATCGAACAGCTCACTTCTATGTTAATAAGGGTGATGATTCTGTCCAGAAAGACTATGAGAACTTGGCAACTAAACCACCAAGCTCAGAGAACAAAACACAGCCAGAAGTCTTCGTACGTATTTATACAAGCTTTTTTGGACCATTTATGAATTCAAAACTTGTTCAAAATCAATCAAAAGCAGCTCTAGTGAGAAAAAGTAGTACGGGATGATGTTAATTACATCCTAATATAAATGCCTAAAATCCATTGATTGGAGAAAGTGATGTGTAATATGAGCTGGATAGCATGAGATTGATTGTTTGCTGTGAAGAATTCCGGAGATTAAAATTTTTGATCATCGATCTCACTCAATTATGAACTTTAAATGTAAACCCCTCATTCTCACAAACTGTATACAAAAGGCTAATGACATTAAAGATATCCGTAATGACTTTGCTCGGCCAAAACTTTTGAGTGATAAAAATCTTGATTCTAAATTTAATTAAGATGAACTATCTTCAAAATTCGTACACAGACATTGAGTCAGCACATAATCATATGAAAGTACAGTGAAAAGTTGGAACTAACCTGTGAAAAAACCTTCGTATAAGTGCGTTGCGTACGTAATCAACATTATTAGACGCTGACACAAGGGGGTCCCTCTGCTTGCCTCCGGTTTGCGATGTACTGCATTCAACTGGTTGTTGATATTGGTCATTAGGTTTTTTGTTCTACAAGTAAAGAGCAAGAGCATGATTTAAACTGATTCCAAAGGCCTAACCATGAAAAGCAACACTGTAAAGGGCACTTGTTATGTGTAACTTTCATGACACAAAAACTCAGAGATATCTAAAAGCATTATTGCACATTTTTTACAGTAGGCGTTATGTGACACATGATCACTGATTTGTAACGCTCTTGACACGAAATGGGAGGTATGAACCTAAATAGTTGGCTAATACAATTACTTATCCGCCTTGAAGATTGGTCTACTCTACGTATCAGATCCTTTAAAAACGAAACGTGTAATGTTGGGTATAGCAGGCTATTTTTCTGAGAAATTTATCCACCAAAAGGAAATACCACCTTGTCATCTAGCTTGTTATATTAGGACTACGAGTTGGACATAACAAAAAAACCATGCATATGACAGTAAATGACATGAAATGTTAGCTAAATAAATTTAAATCTTCGTTTTTTAACGATCCGCTAACTTATGCTGATGAGGCGTCAAATATTTAACATACCGAACTGGGAAGATCAATTTCATCACTATCCCACTCATCATCCCATTCATCATAGCGATCAACCTCCTTCCCGAATTCAGTAGCAGGCAGAGGAGGAGGTGGGGTTAGTGGTTCTGGTAACTCAATAATTTCAACAAATTCTGATGGAATGAGACCTTCCTTTCCAAATTCGTTGACTGCTTGCCACCACCCTGATCCAACATTTTGATTCGTGATTGTGAGTTCCTCTCCAGTACTAACAGTTAGCTCACCATTCCATTGAGCAATAAAGTCGTAAATCACACGCACCTACAGAATTTTTATTCCAGACTAAAACAATAGCTTACCCTCATTGGAATGCCTAAAGAATAAAGGTGGACATAAGATGAAAGTCACAGTTAGTAAGTAAATTAGGTAATCCAAGCACTTTTGAAATTGTCCGCTACTCCTTTTGGCGACAACCAGTATCATCGTCCATTGACAGAAGTTGCTGAACACTTGAAGGTCAAATTGTCGTAAAACGATTGGTGCGTCACCTCGACAACGTGTAAGTATTTGCAGAGGCGGTCAAATCAAGACAACTTTAAATTTGAGTTCAGACACACTATGTGTGATAGTCTTCATCCTTCAAGTAACAGAAGTAATGCCATAATAATGATCCATGATATAGGACGAATCTTTGATGATATAATCCTATTGCGACTATTCATTCCAGCACTGAGGACAGAAACCAAACAACCAATAAAGGGGAAATAAATGCAAACAAATGTTAAATAAAGCGGACGAAGGCTTAAATAAAGGGGTATTTTCAATTTTTCTCTTTACGTCGTGTATTTGAGGGAAATGTGTAGACGAATATGCTTAGCGTGTTTGAATATACCGCTTCATGTACTTATACTTTCATAAATGTTTACAACATAACGTGCTGTTTAATAAAAGATGAAGACTATTATAAATAACACAAGTAATAAAATACGAACATAGGGATTTTCCTCAGATGCATATTCACTTACCTTGTTGTTTATTTAGATAAGGGGTTCCGAATTGCTTGGTGGCTATCCCAAATAGCTTATGTGATGCAAGTGAGTGGCATGTTCTCTGTCTTTATGTTCATTATCGCTAGTTATCTTGTTTGTCCTCTAAGATGAGTTCAGTTAAAGTCAGTGAGAGATCTCGTAGACGTAGGGCAATTGTGAACTTACCAATCGTCCTTGGCTGTCATAGACCGACGTATAACAGACGGTGGAATGAAATACGAACAGCTTTCGTGATAAAACATAACTTGCTTTCGTTTAGTAAGTTTGGTAAGGAAAGCACGAATAAAGGTAACGGACTTTAACAGTGATTTATGTTTAATTGATAGCTGTCAACACAGAAATTAATTTTGATGAGATTCCATCAGCTGTAACATCATCCAATAGCTACAGCGATGGAAGACTTCTGGATGATAACGGTACGTTAATAAAGTGAATACGTCCATATATTCCTTATAGGATGTCGTGATGTTAATTTGTGCTCTCAGAAGCCCGTAAATCGTTAAGAGCATATCAACAAGATATTGATGAATTTAATGACAATAACCTGTCTGAACATTAGAGGTGCTGATCTGATTCTGAATAACTTCCGAAATCTTGTTCCGGACTTACCGAGCGACATCAGGAGTGCCCTGAGGACATGCACAAGCGCCCAACCGAAGTTCATCAACAGTGGGGTTTACTACCACCTGGAATCGAAAATCAATTTGCTAAGATATGTTGAACTTTGGTTGTGTACTTGTGATTTTGATACTTTATATTTGTATAACAATATAGACAGACTTTCTATTTCAAGGAGCTCTGGTAAACATTTATGACCTATATTAGGAAGAATCGTTGCACCAAGGTTTAGTGACATGTTCATAATAGGGATCTATGGAGGGAATACTAAGCATGCAGAATTCAACGAAATTTCTGCGGACACCGTCTCTGAAATAAAAGGAATGACTGACGTGGATCTACTTAGTATGAAATTCAATAAATACATATCTATTACGTTGTCTGCTGTAATATGTGATCCACCTGCTCTTTTCGATGTTAGGTACACAGTTAATCACAATGGGCAGTTCAGATACATCTTAAACACAGAGCGAGATAATGGGGACGGGCGAAAAGGCAGAAATTTTGGCGCGTCTCCCATTATTTCCCCCTTATTTTCCAACTGCTTTCCCACATTATTTCCCCTTTTTTCGTCTTTGTTTCCCCTTTATCAGTTGTTTGGGAAGGGCTACAACTTGTGTTCGTCCTTTCCTAGTAAAGGTTCTGGATGGTCTCGTAAATGAGTCATTTTAAGGAGCGGACACTACTTCTTTGGGTAACAGATTTCAAAAATTGATGACTTGGTGTGAAGACCTGTATGATAGGGGTATTTTGTTCTTCATTGGCTTTTGTACTCGCCAGGTATGTCCTCTTTGTTTTTCTGCTCTAGAAGGAAGAAAAAGGGGGGATATATCAGGGCCGAAATCATTTTTAGTACTTTATACATCAAAATCAGATCTCCTCGATCTTCAGTTGGACAGAAAAAAGTGGTCTAGCCTCTGAAGCTGCTCTTTGTATGGCAGACTCCGTACTTCTGACATTTCACGTGCAACTGCCCTCTATATTCTTTCCAGAATGCTCTATCCACCTGTAGTGGTAAATAATCCCCAAAATAAATGGTTCTGTAGGTCTTCGACACTGATGCTCACCTCACTAGTTTTACTGAACATACCTAGCTGAAGGCACTCGACCACACATCCGCACCACACTACAGGTGTGTACGCTTTGTTAGGCATTCTTTGCAACTGTTAGCCAGCTGGGATCAAACGCTCCACAACATAGTAATAATAATGTATTTCTGCAACATATTGGCAACCTCTCAGATATATCTTCCAATCACTTCATTTCTGACTTCTGATTTGACTGAGTTGGTAAGCTTCGATTACATAAATATTACGTGTAAAGACGTTATGAGACTTCGAATACCTGTGGCATCTTTGGTTATTTTATAAGTTTTACTCCGGAAACAAAAAGACTGAAAGTTTTTGCAAATGTCATAATTGTTAATATAACGATATATTTTGGTTGATTACTTGTACTTTACGAATAAACTTTGGTGCCTAAACTGATTCTATTGTTATCTGAGGTCGTAAATTATTAGTGGATCAGTAGACCTCTCTTCACTATCGGACAGGAGCAAATTTAGTACTCAACAAAATGTTCTTCAATTTGGCTTTTAAATTCTTCACTTTTCAGATTCTTCGGACGTTCACTTCGGATTGAAATCTAATTCTATTTGTTGGTTTCATTGGATGTATTTTGAATTATTTAAAATTGGCTCGATATAACTGCCTTTGTAGAATAGAGATAAACAGTGGAAACAAGGAGTAAAAGGTGAAAGGTAACACAGAAATAGGTGAGATTCTTGAAGTTGCTTGTGATCTGTTTGATGTTATTAATGACAAACATGATTATATAAATGTTCATAGTATAGGTTTTGATCAACTTAGTTCTGTCAGGCTAAAGTTAAGTAAAACATTACACAAGGATAAGATTATATAAGAGGATTGAATCATAGATAGGGTTTATGATGTTAGATACTCCAGATGAGGTTGAGCTTGTTGAATTCGGATTTAAAGTTTGAGAGGGAGATAACCAGTTACCTACTGATAGTGGCGAAGTAAATACTGAGGTGAAAATGTATTCGGAGTGTAATACTGGTCGTAAGATCCAAACTAAGGTTTGACTGAAGAATAACTGTCCGCATAGTTTAATCACACGCTATCGCCCAGTCGAGATAAAAACAAGGGGATTGGGTAAATAACGGTTCTAAATCTCACTGTAAATACAAATGTACATTATTACCCAAATAAATATTACCGCTCAGTTATTCAACCAATAACTTTTCCCTCAATAATCGATCTAAATTAAAATAAATAGAAAAATTGATAGGGAATGTAAAAAAATTACGAGCGAGTCAAAAGATAAGTGTTATTCTATCCTTTCTGGATAGATCAATTAAAAATCTGTTCAAAAGACGATAATTTGTTGATTTATAACACAAAGTGTTTTCAATTCTGGAAAAGTGCTTCAATTCACTCGAGCAACACAGTCAAGGAAAAACGATCAATATGGCTGCCGCCAGGATTAGGTATCAACTAAAACAACATAAACACAGCCCAGGAAGAAACATAGAAACTCAGTGAAGGCGAAAGGAAAATTGGAAAACTATAATATAATAAAATATTACCATCGCAAATGGCATCGAAAAGACTAACAAAATGTAGAATTAAAGAAACCAATAGAACAAGTAGCAAATGTATGCATGAAGGGAAGTCGCCGATAAGATGATGGTAGCTGGCAAGGAACCCAACTTTGAAGAGTCAGGGTCTGCTCTAACACGTTATGGTAGATTGTTAAACGCACTTCGAAGTTTCGTAAAGGAATTTATGAAACTCAAATTAATGGGAAAGCACACCTCACTGTAGTTAAGTAAGACATAAGAAACCCAGTTTTGTTTGCAAGCTGCAATTTTTGCCTAAGCGACCAATAGGTGAAAAACTATACAGTTATCGAAAATGAGTGTCATGAAAAGGAGATTTGAGGTAAGGAGATGTGGTTCATGTTATTAGTGTTTGAGAAAGGGTCATATAGCTAGACCATGCAATTGGGGCTTAAGCGTGACGCTGGGAAATGCAAAATTCAACATAATTAATTGCTACATATTAGTGGCAATTATAGTCATGTAGTAAATTTAGCTAAGTATTGGAACTCACTGAAGGTTTGTTTGGGTATTATTGCGATCAAACCGTATGATTACAAAGTTTAAAAGATTATACCTTTCTGGATGGCGGCTCTGATAGTTCACTAGTATGCGAAGAAATAATCGATCGTTTGGTTATCGAAGGTAAGGAAGCTGTGATAAACCTGGCAACTGTGAGTAGCGCGGCTAAATGTAAATGTATGAAAGTAATTTAGAGATATTTTGTTTGGATGAAAAGGGATCTGTACATTCTAAGAAAGTTTATAGGTCCAGGATGGATTAATCGGAGCCTCCAACCGGAAAACAACTGGGACAGTGGATGCATTTGAAGGACATGACCTTTCTGAGGTTGTGAAGTAATTTAATAAACGTCTTGACTAGATGCGATGCTCCAGAGGAATAGTGGGTTTAAGAACAACGTCTGGGAGATAAACTACATACGTTTGGTGTGAGTGCGCATTTCGCTTTGATGGTCATTGGTCTTAAGGAAGCAAATAAACCAATGCAGCAAGTCAACTGGCATCATTGTTCTCCACCTGATCATGTGTTATGGGTTCTGGAAAGATACTTCGACCGT